CGTCTCAGGTGATCGTTATCACTCTGCCCAAGTAGCAGTGCTTCCCCTTCAGAAAATATAGTATTTATACGGTCAAAAGATGTCTGTGTCTCATATGGCCTTGATATTTGCACACTCTGTGACTATACAAACCACAACATGTAAATAGGAAAACGTTTGCGTTATTTTGTCACTCATTTGGATTAGTATAAAAGCTGCAACCATTCACATCCAGTCTTTGTGCTAAGCTAGGCTAGCGGTGGGTGCGTCAAACAGACTTATAGCACGCACGGAGATGAAAAAGGTATGTATGGACTTATCTAACTCTGGGGGGTAAGGTGAATAGGCTAAAGTCCCAAAAAGTCGGAGTGTTCCTTTAACGTCATATAGAACGCTATATGCAAAAACGGCGCTATACTACGCACATGGCTCCCTTTATCGTTAATATAACACGCGAACCCAAGACGTTATAAATCCTTTAGCGTGAATATGACACGTACACCCTACCCCACACCTAAACTTAGCCCTCACAGCACGTGTTATATTAACGATAACGGGTGCCATGTGCGTAGTATAGCGCCGTTTTGTCACTAGCGTTCTATATGACGTTAAAGGATGAGAATGCGTTGGCCATTTACAGTTTTACTGACTTGAGCTTTTGTATTATGCTTCGAGTAAAGTTCATAAATGGTCGTTCTTTCCCATAGGACTTTGTAAAACTATGTTGGGTGCACCTCTGTGCCTCTAGGGGGTTCGGGGCCATGCTCCCCCGCAAGAAAATTTTGTAGATTTTAAGATTAAATGCATCAATCTCGTGCTCTCTGAGATATCAAATTAAGAGATTCAACCCATAAACTGCTCGTTGAACAAAGATAAAGCATTGAATTGTACCAGGACAATAAAGAGGGCTCAAACATCTTTTTAGTTATGAGAGTCTCTGTCTACGTTACATCATCAATGGTGTTTTAGGATGTCAAACAAGTATTATAATAATGTAATAATGATTTATAGAATTATTCCTATGACGTAAAATCCATTTAGCCTAAATGTACAATATAAGGAGAAAGACTTTGGCCAGTGTACAACAGATAGAAAAAGAGATTTTGGATGAATACAAAACACAAACTGAAAACACTGATGACTCTAGTGTTCATGGTCACACACGTCAAGACACTGAAAGTGGTGATATATCCTCTTGTGATGCAGTTTCCTCTCTTTTGCCCCCACATGAGAACTCATGTGACCTGGAAAAAAACACGGAGTCTGATTTCATCTCTGATTCTGACAATCTCTCCGATCCTGGCAGCATCCAAACAAATGTAGAATCTGACAGCAGTAGCAACAATTCACTTAATCAGTTGCAAACTAAACTGCAAACATGGGCAGCATCTTTTTGCATCCCTCTAGTAGCTCTAACAGCACTATTGGCAATCTTAAGACCAGAATTTCCTGATTTGCCCAAGGATGCAAGGACTCTTCTTGATACACCGACAAATGTACCCGTGGTAAACATTTGCAATGGCGAATATTACCATTTTGGCCTGGTAAATGGCTTGCAAAACATATTAGGTAGGATCTCCAATATTTCTGAATATGTCCAAACTCTTGCATTGCAGTTTAATATTGATGGCATCCCCCTGTTTAAAAGCTCCGGAAGACAATTTTGGCCAATTCTTGCAACAGTTGACTGTGATAAAACACGATCCCCATTTGTAATCGGTTTGTTCTGTGGCAATAGTAAACCGAGCTCAGTCTGGGAGTATTTGAGAGAATTCATTGCAGAATTAAAAGTGGTTTTGCGAGAAGGCATTGTAAAGAATGGTACTCGTTTCAAAGTTGTTGTCTCCTCCTTTATTTGCGACGCCCCTGCACGAGCATTCCTCAAAAATGTCAAGTCTCACAATGGCTACTTTGGTTGTGACAAATGTTCCCAGACTGGAGTATGGTCTAATAAAATGACATATCCTGAAACAGATGCTCCACTGCGTACTGACATGGATTATGAAATGATGACAAATGAAGAACACCATTTGAACAATACCTTAAGCCCCTTGCACGAACTAGTAAAAATGGTAACCCAATTCCCGTTAGACTACATGCACACCTGCTGTCTTGGAGTGATGAGGAGATTAATTCAAATGTGGATGAAAGGGAAAAAGCTTAGAACAAGGTTGTCATCACAGCGTATCACACAGATTTCTGACAGACTAATTGCTCTCCGTTCGTTTATGCCTCAAGAGTTTGCCAGGAAACCTCGTTCTTTGACAGATGTGGATAGATGGAAGGCCACAGAGTTCCGCCAGTTCATGATATACACGGGTCCCGTTGTTTTAAAAGGATGTGTTGAATCCGAAATTTATGACAACTTTCTTCTGTTTTCTGTTGGCATGTTTCAGCTGCTTAGTCCTGGCCTCTCTGATTCAATGATTGAATTTGCCAACAAGGCTCTGTTGTCATTTGTAACACATTTCATCAGATTGTACGGCGCAGATGAAGTGGTTTACAATGTCCACCAGGTTATCCATCTTGCAGACGAGTATAAAGCGTTCGGCCCTCTTGATAATATTTCAGCATTTCCATATGAGAATTACCTGGGTGGATTGAAACGATTGGTTAGAAAACCAGATCGACCTTTACAGCAGGTTGTCAAAAGACTTTCAGAAATGCTTCCAAAAGAATCTCACCAACCAAATGGAGATCTACTTCTCTCATCAAGTTCAAAAGAGCTAAAAAAGGTGCATTTGTCAAATTGTGTTCTGTCACCCAAACAAGGAGACAACTGTATCAAAATCGACACAGACATAGCCATCGTTAAGGACATAATCAAACAGAATGAAAGCATTCATATAGTGTGCCAGAGGTTCCTAAAACGAGTATCATTTTACACATACCCATGCGACTCCTCTGCACTTGGATGTTACAGAGTTTCTGTCTTGCAAGAAAAGACTGAAATCGTACCTTTGTCCAGTGTGAAACAGAAGTATGTACTTCTTCCTGAAAACGAGAATGTTTTTTTTGCAATACCCCTTCTCCATTGCAGATAGTGTTTGTTCAGCAGAGTGAGCACGTATGGTGTAGTGTCAGGCTTTTGGAAATGTTTTTACAGTTAAATAAACATAACATATTGAAAAAGTGGAAACAAATTGTTCAAAATACTGTATATAGTACCGTATCATAGAGAGTTAGTTAACCTGAAAAAAATGAAAATTCTATCATCACTCTCATGTTGCTCCAAAGCCATAAGATTTTCGTTCATTTTCATATTAATGAAATCTGAGAGATTCGGGTCACTCCATTGACAGTCCAGACACCAAATCTTTATATCAAAAAATGTCATAACATTGAAACAAATCCAAATGAATTGAGAGGTGTAATCTAACTCTTGAACAAAGTATAAATATGAATACGATGGAAAGATTTAATCTAGGCTTTTTAATCTATAACGTTTTGGTTATCTGTAGTACTGTCGTTGGAGTGACCAAAATCTTTAAAAAAAATATCTAAATATGTCTTTCTAAGATAAAGTAAGGATGACAGAATATTAATTTTCGAGTAAACTAATGGGTAGTTTGTTGTAGTGACTGAACTTTGAGAAAATACAAATTTCACTTGTTTTCTAAGTGATGCAACACCCACTCTTTCTGTTTTTTTTCATTGTATACTAATAAATACATTACATTACATTACATTACATTACATACAAATAAATTAATTCATGCATGACTCTTACTCCACTGTGATTGGTATGGGTAAGGGAGCTGAACACGCAGCAACCCAGAACTAATCATAGCTGGGGTCAACATTTCTCAATTTTTTTTTTATCTTTCCCAGACAGTAATGGATAAAGTGAACCCATGTTACTCATTAATAGAATTTCCAGACAAAAGCACAGATGTTGTCCCAGATAATTGGCTTTTTGAACAAAAGTGCTACTGGCCAAATTACAACCAAGCAAAATTAAAGGCAGCAGTAAAGAGAAAAGAGCCTGTCCAAGATGGATGGAAAGTCTTTGAGCCTGTCCGATTGCTCAAAAAGTGTGGTACGATTTTTTAAAAATTATTATTATTATCTCTATGCACTGATACTACATGCTTTGCTCAATTTTATATTATATTATTCATATCTATATTACAGAAACCCTAGAAAAAGCACAGAAGATGCTAAAAAAGTATGTGGACTGTGATATCCATACGTCAGAAATAACTTCTGATGAAGAGGGCCATGAAAGAATAAAAAGGAAGAAAAGGTTAACTTAATGATAATAAATACCGATGATTTGTTTTTTTATAAGTGTTGTCCTATTGAGAAGTAATTTGAATGTTTCACTTTACAGGCCTAATCCACGCTTCCTAAACTTTATAGAAAATGAATCTGACCAGGATGATGATGCACCAAAAAAATCACGGCTCGCAGCTCCTCCCGCAATTGTTTTTCCAGGTATTGTGGAAGTATAATTAAACTGTTTTTGTGGTTACTTAAAAAAAAAAAAAAAAAGGTATTCATGATCAAATGTCCCTGAATTTCAAGGCGATTCAAACTTTTTCCCCAAAAAACTTCACAAGAAAATTTAGTTCAATTTAATTTGGAATGCACTGAACCTGCCATAAAATTGAATGAACATACAGCTCCCCCCAAAATGTTCTTGGGAGAAGCTATGGGTTTGTGAAATGGAGCGGCCTTACGGGACTGTATAAGTCACTGGACGCTGGTCAGGGATGCTGGAGCCGTCACCAACTGGCCCTGGTGTGGCAGGCATGATAGGAACAGGCTCTGCAGCATGGCATAATCTATATATTGGGCCAGGGAAAAATGTATTCTTCCCCCTTGCATCCTTGAACGTATGGTTAATTTAACCCATTATAAAAATGTCCTTAAGAGCAACATCATTAAAATCTAACAATTGAGAAAGTTCACAAATGTCCGCCTTTAGTGATTTTCAAACATGACTGAATGAATTCAAAGCACACAATTTCATTACTCAAAACCCTGCTGTTAATTACACTTGTTCATTTGTTTTGTTTTTTAGAAAGTCACATGAACTTTGAGACCAGTCCAGCTGTCTCAAACCTCTCTTCACTTGGTATGTGTTTATGTTATTCAATTCAATGCCTCTTTTACATTGTATCACAGCTGTAATAAATGCACTTCCAGCTCCACAAATTCTGAAATATCTTTTTTTAATTAAATTTCTATCTTGATACTTTAGTTTGTGGGCCCTGTATCTCACCTGGTTACCAGTTGATTAAACATTACCCTGCAACATTGCGCAAAAGTTTGCCCTTTGTTTCATAACCTTTAATGTCTTTTGCTAATTTTTTTCAGAGAGACACATGAACTACCACGCCTCCAGTCCTGCATCAGACATCACTTCAGCTGGTATGTATTATTGAAATGTAGTCTATTAAACATTGGTTGTCTTGTCAGTTTAACACAAGCATTTCATGCCTAAAAATAAACTGTGCACATTTCTCTCAGAAAATTCACACAGAGTTCACCAGGGCACACACCAGGGGTCAGAACACACAAACCTCGGAGCACACAAGGGCACAAACTATGTAGCACACCAGGGATCACACTATGGAGCACATCAGGGAACATACCAAGAGGCAATCCACGGAGCACTTCAAGACCCAAACAACGGAGCACACCAGGGATCACACTATGGAGCACACCAGGGCTCACACAACGGAGCACACCAGGGATCAAACTATGGAGCACACCAGGGACCACACAACGGAGCACACCAGGGAACATACCAAGACGCAAACAACAGAGCACACCAGGGATCACAGTACGGAGCACATCAGGGCACACTGACTGAACTGGTCAATGGTAATGACTTTTTTAATTTATTTTGAAAACAGTTATTTGGAACTTTTTATTTGGCCTTTATGTTGATTTTATGTCATTTTTTAATTATTATTATGTCCTTTTAGGTGGGACTTACAGGCTAAAATATAATTATACTATAAATGTTGACATCCATCCTATCTTTTGCTGCTAGTATTTACTGTCACTCTTTTTTTTTAAAGAAAAATACATGAACCAAAACTCCAGTCTGACTGTTTCAGACATTTTTTCAGCTGATTCTTCAAACTGCTAACCTCTTCAAGACTAATTGTTTTACAGATGAGTTTTAGGAACTTATAAGAAGTTTAAAAAAACTGTTGTGTTTTCTTCAGAAAATCCAAGAGCACAACTAACATCGCAGGGGAATGAACATACCAACGGTAATAAATCAAAAACAAAAATTCCATGTTCAAGTATTAATTTAAACACTAAACCTGTTAGTAATTTCTGATTAGGGTTATTACTGAACTAGTAGAGTTTCTCTCTCTTAATATATTTATTTACTTGTCTACTTTATTTGTAGAGTTGTCTCCTTTCAAGAGGAATGTGCTTAAACTTCTCATGGAAGTTAAGGCAGAGCTAAAAGAGCAGAGAGCAATGATACAAAACTTACAGGGAGTGCCTGCTGTACCTGATCAGGAAATAAGATGTGGCTTGCAGTTACCTTTACAATCTCTTGAAGATTTTGAGGAATTGGAGAGGTTGGATGAGACCGAAAAAAATAGATTGGTATGTCTTGTAATGCAATTATATTTAACCGGGTTCCTACGCAGTTTGGAAAAATATGGAATTTTATTTAATTTCCAGGTCTTGATAAGTATGGAAAAAATAACATAAAGATTACTGAAAAATATTTATGGTTCTAAACGATTGCCCCATTCAGTTTTCATAAAAACAGAAACTATTAGAGATGACTGTACTATATACAGTAGAAATATAATCCTGAAAATAATGCTACCATTTTGATTAAAGGGATAGTTCACTTTGAAATTAATTTTTGATATGCTTTATCTTACCTCAAGGGCATCCAAGATGTAGGTGTCTTTGTTTCCACAGTATTTTCAATTTTGATATTTTTAGGTCAAACCGTTCTTGTCTGTCAGTCATATAATGGAGGTCTATGGTCACCACCTCAAAGAGCATGCACAGAGAAGTCCAAATTAAACATGATTTAATGACTCGTAAAAATGTATTAGTACACATTGATGTTTTTACCTCTTGTAACCACAGCCACGTCCAAGTGATCTGAGGGCGTGGGCGCTTCGGTCTGCTCAAGCGCCAGAAAGCGCCGGAAGTGATCTCTCGCAAGGTTGCGGAAAAACTTCAACGTTGTCTGTTGATATATATTGAAATAATCTTCCATTGCGATTTCCTGTATATCGAAATATGTTTAGATCTTCACAGTGAAAGGTAAAACTTCCGAAATCTCTGTGTAAACAATGAGTGATGCACAACACGCGAGAGAGATCACTTCCAGCGCATGCACAATTTATGATACACCACAAAAGAAAACATGTATTCACACAATTTTTTGTTTTTTTGCTACACATTCATTCAATTTTGAATTTTGCACACGCAAGTTGAAAGGCATGGATAAAACATTTCTACAACATGTATCAAGTTCATTGATAATTGTGCTTGCACGTGTTGATCATTTTGATACTATATTCATCCCATAGTGCATGCTCTTTGAGGTGGTGACCATAGACCTCCATTATATGACTTACAGACAAGAACGCTTTGACCTAAAAATATCAAAATTTAAACTGTTGCAGAAACAAAGACACCTACATCTTGGAGGCCCTTGAGGTAAGCTAAAACATATCAAAAATTAATTTCAAAGTGAACTATCCCTTTAATAGGATACAACCATTTATAGTACATATGGTCTGAAAACAGAGAGGATTGGAAATCTAAAAATACCATGCTAAGATACTTGTCTCATTACAGTTGTAAAGTGGGTTTCTAATTTACTGTATACTTTGTCAGTTTGAACGAGTCAGACCATTCTCTGTTGTCCTCTCATGTTTTTATTTTTTGGCACTAATCTGAGTAAATTCTAGAGACATCCCAGGAAATATACCCAGAAACAGAAAAAACTGAATTTGACACCATTTATGTTTGAAAATAAATATATAAACATAGTCCAGTCTGTGGATGCACTTTGAAGAGAGATCAACAGAAAAGTAAAAAAAAAAAAAGTCTGTAGAAACATACTGTATGTATGGCTCAGATAAAGTCTATTTAGAAAGGTTAATAGAAAATGTATTTTTTGTGTGCATTTAATTGGGCATCATTTTTTTAACACTGATCCCCTTTTTATTAGATTTACCAGCTGTCACTTCTAGGTGGGCATAAATTGGAAGGCACTATAAGAAAAATGTTGAGCCACATTTTAAGCAACAAACTGGCTTCGTCATTGAACTGGGCAGGACGTGGAGAGAAGAGGAGCTTCGAGACCTCAAATCTCTCGAAGATAATGTTCCGTAAGTAATAGATTGGTTTAGTTCAGGTTTGAAAATGCCCTATAAGATATGTTCATTTTGGTGCAACCATGTCAGTTATATTTGAAGATGCAAAAGCCTCTAAATGCCATTTGAAAATCTTATTCTATAATGTTCTTCTATCACCAAGCTTGTATAAGTTCAGTAATTTCACTTAAATGACAATTAATAGGTAATCTTCATTTCAATTTGAGTGAAATTACTGAACTTAAATATACAAGCTTGATAAAATGTATCATTATAGAAGAAAATTTCAAATGGCACTTAGAGGCTTTTGGATCTGAACTCTTCATTTTGTTCCATAATGTTTCAGGTGCATTAAGAAATACAGCCCAAGGAAAAGAGGCCTCCAAGGCAGACTTTTCCGAGGCAGTAAAGAGATGGCTCCGTTATGCTCCAGACCGAGAGGGTGGCAGTGGCAGAAGATCATCTGTTATTTAATTGTTTATTTTTTTGTGTGTCAAACAAAATTAATTACAGTTTTGTTATATAGTTTATCTGTAATAACTACATTTTTCTAAATTATTCTTAAAATACTGATAAATTGTGTATAATTTAAGTTGTTCAATATACTATACGTTTATTAAAATTATATTAAAATATATGTAATATTACAGTATTATAACACTCTCGGCTTTTTACTGAAATATTTAAAGGTTAAAACATTTTTAAATTGCCCCAGGCTGTTTCATTGAGAAAAAGACTATAGATAAATAATCAGCTAAATGAGGTAGGCTACAAATATAATGTTACATTGCCTGTAGTTATAAAAATTCATTTAACTATTATGATAACATGATATTGTGGTCAACAATATATTTTTTTTTATTCATTTTGTTTCTCTATAGGTCTATTTTGAGGTATCTGCCAGCAATGAGACTGACGCCATACAGCAGAGTTATTCATTCCACTTAAAGGTATTTATGCATGTATTTTTTACTGAACTATACTTATTATTGCTGATTGTGGTTCAGGCACTCAACAACGTCAGGTATGATATATATTATAATATGTATTATTATTTTTTGTTTTTACAGGAATCTAGCTTAGTCTTTGCTCATATTACCCTTTAATATGTTTTGAATGTATATCTCCAATACAATATCCTTTGTGGGAGTACAGTTATCATTAGAATTCTTTAGAAGAGTTTCACATTAGCTGCCACAGTCAAGAGACCGAATCCAACAGGCCAACATTTAACCCACTGCCTATTATACATGCTGCATGCAACAAATATCAACCGGTAGAAGACCGAGCCTTTGTGAAGAGTATTTTAACAAACTTCCCAAAAAAATATTCTTCGTCGGTGGTTAGGCAACGGCAATCAAGTTCACTTGTGTGTGTGTGACACCACGGATCAAAATGTCATTAATTACACTGAAAATTATGTGAGCATCGGTTTTTAGCAAATACTCTCGAATTTGGTATGTGTCGTCAACACAGCGAAGATGGATCACAAGCAGATCTTACATAGGGGAGAGCGGGGCACAACCTAAAGATGTTTGACTTTCTCAGTTTGTGTAAATCTACTTAGGGTTTATTTTTTCCCTTTCCAGTTTAACTGACCGTTTTTGTTTTTGTTTGTTTGTTTGTTTGTTTTTTGGTTACAAAAACTCTGTCTTTGTATTTCGACTGCAGCAGGATTTATAGGTTGATTTAGACCTCGAAAGATCATAACTCACTTGGAACAGGATTTCAGCTGTGCTGGTTGTAGGAATAGATAAGATAAAATAGTGGAAGACAACTGAGGGAGAGTTAAACTGGGATGTGATATACAGATTACCTCCATCATCAAAAGTCGAAGGTTTATAGTTGTCATTTATAGGATCAATCTTAATCTTACTCTTGTTGCAAAGTTATATTAAAGAGCCTATCGGTATGGCGCTCGGAATGTTCCATTCGGCGACGAGACTGACAAGCAAGACAGAAAACACACGTGAATACGTGCGTGTACGTCTCCATTTGTTTTATATGGAGACGTACACGCAAGTATCACGTTGTCACGGTGCGGGTTCAGGCAGAAGGACGAACAGGCAGAGTCCAGAAAGGTCCAATACGAAAGGTTTTATTACAAATAAACAGGATACAGGCAGGCGGAACACGGGGTAACATTAACATAACAACAACATCGACCGACAAAGACTGACTAAAACAGAAGGAACTAAATACACAGAAGAATCAAACATAATGAGGTGAAGACAGGTGAAACAGATGACGATGACGAGGAACAGGTGGCTGATGAGGGAGTGAACACGGGATAGGGTGACGAGAGGATCCTGGGAAGTGTAGTGCTGAAGACAAGACAGACTGGTGCAGACGGAGGACTGTGACACACGTCACGTAGACACGTCAATAACGTGTAGCTGTTGATCTATGCAGACGTCACGGCGGCGTCACGTTAAAAGTTAACGTGTGGATTACGTCTGAACTATGGCGTTCCGATAGGCTCTTTAATATAACTTTGCAACATGCACTCGTCTCAATGAACGTCTCACTCAACGTCTTATTTTTTTTTTATTCTGCTATTTATTTCTATTCAACTTAAGACGCAGACGTGACGCTGACGTGACGCTGACGTCACGCAAATCACGCGTGGCAGTGAAGTGTCGAGTCAGACGTCACGCGTTATTCACGTGTGGCAGTGAAGTTATTTATTGTTACACGTATTTAACACGCTATCCACAGTACAGCACGGCTCAGTGAAGCGAGTGTATCGCGCGTTCTGATCGGCTCTTTAATATGACTTTGCAACATGCACTCGCCTCAATGAACGTGACACTTGCGTCTGTCTTATAACGTCACGTCTGCGTCTGTGATAGGACTTGTGTTCATGTTTTTCTATCCTAATGGGGACTTCAACCAGACTGAATGCAAAAATTCTTGATTAAATAGTGGTCCACACACAAACCCCTGGTCTAATCTGCATTAAACCACTTTAAACGTTCTTTTAATGATTTTCTATGGGAGTAAAATGCTTAATAACGTGTAATTAAACGAGTTGCGTTCATATTTATTTATTACTTTATTGTGATTTAACATAATAATTTATAAATGCATGCAAAATTATCTGTGTACTTGATAAATGTTGCAGATATTACAAAAGAATGCCTTTCAACTTGTTTGTAAACTTCAGAATTAAATGAATGTGCAGCCATATCTAATAAAAAAAGAGTCTGCAAGTAGTTTCATATTTGTTATAATGTTATTTTTTTCCATCTGTGATTATGAAAATAGATAGGCAATATATATCGAGAGACGTGGGTCGACAGAGATGATTTTGACCACTTCATTAAGTTTTGTTTAGAAGAAAGGCTTTATTTAAAGTAAATTTCGTTTTGTATAGCCTAAATTGTATTCATTTTAATACATTTTTCATCAACCAATTGCCTGGATTTAATAAATAAAGCAAATATAGCAGACAGCCATAAGCATGGAGTTGCACGGGGCCGCGGTAACTCGTTAACTGAAGCACATCTCGTCATAAATTAAACGAAACTATGAGAAATAGGCCTAGCCTAAAGAGTAATCTATTTATTTCTAAAGCCTGAAATGTCTTTAAATGAAACAATTCAATAAAAATACATTTCAAGCGTTACAGAAACAATTCAATATTACAATAAAAATAAAAGTTATAGTCTTTATGTCGTTGTTGTGTTTTGAGTTTACGCTCAATATATAAAAGAATTATTGGAGATGGACAAAAAAAATAACCACATTTATTTTCTCCCGTTTGTCGCGCCCGAATTGTCACGTTTCTATTCCCCACCAGTGGGGCGCGCCCCACACTTTGAGAAACGCTGCATGGTTTGACAGTAGCCTATATTTGAAAATATACAGAATTATAAGGTCTTAGTACAATATATTGCATATTACATAGGCCTAAGACATTTTCATATATTTAAAAATGTGAGACAATATATTTACTAATATATAATGTAATATTCAGTGATACACTTCATATTCAGGGATTCAAGTTATGCGTCGCTATATGACGGATTTCCGTAAATATCAGGGTCACCCTGTCCTTATGTCTTAGATTACGCTTTTCATTATTTTAAAATAAATGCCGTAAATATGCTTACATTTCTCAAATAGGCTATACATGATGCAATAACATCTTGTTCTTTGGGAATATTGACAAGAAACAATGTCAAACAAAAGTTTTAATAAAATAATTTGTGTGAATGAATATTTAGGCTATATTTGAAAAAAAATATATGTATAAGCAAGGTAAAAACACTTAATTTATAAACAAACATAATTGAAGAGGGCCTATGCATTCCTTATGAGCTATTTGGTACACCCCGCCCCCCACCCACCCACCCAGCCACCCCGCAGCAGACGCAGACGTCACGTTCGGCAGACGCAGACGAGACGTTCGGCAGACGAACGAGTGATGTGGCAGACGCAGACGAGGCGTTCGGCAGACGCAGACGTCACGTTCATTGAGACGAGTGCATGTTGCAAAGTTATATTAAAGAGCCTATCGGAACGCCATACTGAACGTCTGCCCGTCTGAACGTCTGCCCGTCTGAACGTCTGCACGTCTGCCACAATCTAAGTTTAAAAACGTGACTTATTTTGGCACATTTTATGTAGGACACTTATTTCTATAATACTGAATGTCTGGTAATGTACCATACATTTGGTATCCCAATCCCAATGATAGATGTAACTTTTTCATAAAAGTCTATGGCATGTAGGCTATTTTGATTATTCGATCTTCAGAGATAAAAAAAATAAAATGGGCTAAAAAATTTCAGAAAAACTGAGTCTTATCATTATATATTAGTGTGTTTCAGATGTGTTAATGCTCTGCAGCAAGCCAGCAACAGTCTGCATGCCTCGAGTTCACTCATGCTGCATCCAGCATTAATCAGAAACCATTTTAGAGTTTATTGGATTTTAAACTAAAATTAGTTAGCCTGTGATTGCTTGGATCAGGCTACTGCCATTCTTATTCTGAACAAGTAATTAATCATTCAATTTAAACATGTTTTAAATGTACTATTTAATAGAGCTGCACTAAAGTTTTTTATAAAGCCTATAAATGTCGTCTAGTCATACTACACATTTTTTGCTACCGTTGAGAGCATACAAAAATCTCGCCCAAGTCAGGCAAAACAGTTGACAGCCCATATAAATACAGTAAGAGGAGCAAACGCTGCATAGTTTTCACCTGCAGGAAAAACAAACACTTTAAACAGAATAAGATGAGATGAACACTTAATCAGTAGGTGGCAGCAGAGCAGGATTTATTTGACCATCTCCACTTTCTAAATAGGAAATTACTGACCCACAGAACAGTTTGGATTCACTTTTTCGTTTATGACAAACAAAACTATTTTATTTAAAGTGTGAATATATTATAAAGAAAGAGAACAAAGTATTCTCTTTTTATTTAGCGACTGATGGAACTCCTGCGAAAACTCCTCTGATAATAAATAAATTGTCTAGGCCGACAATCAAACATTCATAGCCTGTGTAAACCTGGAGCTTTTACCTGAAGTGAAATGAGTTTCGTGCTATAAAGTGAAAATGCTCATCTCCTGCTGGGTCAATGGATGATAAAATCGTGCCGGATGTTCAATTAAATCGGGATTTTACACTATACCCGTCATTAGACGCCGTATGGATGTGAGAAGACTAAGCTTTTGTCCGAACAACGACGGAGATTATGGCTGGCGAGCATAAACAGGAAAGAAACTCACTCAAAACACGCAAGAATTTGTTTGACAAAAGCACAATGTTGTGTTTTATTGCGAGTGTAAACAAATATAAGTTAACACATTGCAGTTTGTATAATGTCCTGTATGAACAAAATGACAAGGTATTGGTGAGGAGTTTTTACACATGTGAGCAATTCCGAGTCTGGAAATCACTGGAGGTGTACGATCAGATTGACGTGGGGTTGGTTTGGTGACGTTTGCTCAAGTGCAATCAATTAAAAAGTAACTTAGTCTGAATCAAAATAAAAATGGAAAAATTGTATGTAAAAACGAAAACTTTGTTATATCATTTGTATTATCTCAATAACAATAATGGTCTAGCCTGCATGCTGGTCTTATTCATGTCTACCTATTTATACATGATACCCATAGCTTTACTATGCTCTTAAGAAAGCACACACAAACACACAATAATCATAAATGCTACACTAAATCTTTAAATCCTGGGAATTAAACAAATTTGTTACATAAATATAAGAATTACAGTAAAAACAAACATTCACTTAACTATTTCGCAGTTAATAAAGTACACGTTTTTCATTCCATATTACTCCATGTATTTGCACAATCTGTATTGTTATAAATTTCTGTCACCACTGGAATTCTTGTAAGAACAGATAGACATCAATTAGAAGTCAAATCAACCTTTGCCACTGTAGTTACATTGTAAACTCTACTCTGACTACAGCTATGGCATAACAATCATGTTTACAATACTTTTATGATTAACCAATATCATCCAATAGCAGCCATTTCACCCTGTAGCCCAAGACTGGTCGCTCACTGAAGCTAAGCAGGGCTGAGCCTGGTTAGTACCTGGATGGGAGACTCCTTGGGAATCCAGGTTGCTGCTGGAAGAGGTATAAGTGAGGCCAGCAGGGGGCGCTCACCCTGTGGTCTGTGTGGGTCCTAATGCCCCAGTATAGTAATGGGGATACTATACTGTCAAAGACCACAATCCTTCGGATAAGACGTTAAACTGAGCTCCTGACTCTCTGTGGTCATTAAAAATCCCAAGACGTCTTTTGAAAGAGTAGGGGTGTAACCCCGGCATCCTGGCCAAATTTGCCCAGTGGCCTCTGTCCATCATGGCCTCCTAATCATCCCCATATATACCAATTGGCTTCATCACCAGTAAGCTGGTGTGTGGTGGGCGTTCTGGTGCACTATGGCTTCCCCCCTTCAAAGTAAAGCGCTTTGAGAGCAGAGAAAAGCGCTATATAACTAATTATTATTATTTATATTTATCATATCATACTTAAATAAATAAGGTATAAAGAAAAACAACCAGTCAAGGTTTAGGGCATACAATGTAATATTTATAGTATCTAATCTACAAATAATGAACACTTGAACACAATTTTAGCATAAGCAAACAATACACAATATAAAGAAGTATAAACAATGGAGAGAAAAAAATAATAATAAAAACAACAGCAACATCGGGCCAGCTGGGGAACGATCAGCCATGCCAGAGTGGGTTTTTTAGGCTACCCCAAACACAGGAGACTGTATTATTCCAGACGTCATAAAATGACAAAAGTCTTCATACTCATGCCCAATGGGCAACTTCAGGGTAATAGCACAAGTGTTTGCTTCTGGGAACATCCGCCGGTTGCCATTCAGGTCCTCGTGAAGGAATGTAATGGTAGGATTCTCTACAAATCCAAATGGAGGTATGGCAGATGCCCCAGAAGCAAACACAAGCACATCTTCTAGGGTGATTTCAATTTTTTCTCCACCTTCTAGCTCCACTGCTGCATCTCCATCTGTAACATACAAATCAAACAAACAATCTTAAAAAAAAAACAGATTGACACACAAACATTCTAATCATTAACACCTACAGTTACAACCTACAACACATTATCACATATTTTTATTTCACAACATTTGTGATACAACAGTAATGTCTTATTGTACAATATGAGCATTTATTCTATATATTAATATTTTGAGAACTGGTCAATATGTTTAAGAGCCAATTCTTTTTTATTGTGGTTGTTTTTGCATATTATACAATATTGCAATTTAATAACAAATGACAGACATGTCTAATAGATATACACTTTAATTATTTAAACAAATGTTTGAAAACTAAGAGACTGAACAATAAAAAACATAAGTTTTTTTTTTATCAACTGACATGAACAAAACATTTTTGTTAATCAACCAGGGGTGAGTTTCCCGAAAGCATCGTTAGCCAACTATGGTCGCAAGTTCCATCGTTACCATAGACTTCAATGGAAATTGCGACCAACTTGCGACCATAGTTACCAACGATGCTTTCGGGAAACGCACCCCAGGTGTGCAGTTATTAGATGATGGTGTTTATTGAAACTACAACCCAACCATTGTAGTTCTTCCAAATTGAGTGAGGGTACAAATAAAATGTCATCATTACATATAGCTCCACCAAATAATTACATTTCACTACCAATATTGCATTACATGCCTGCATGCTGTCATCTTCACTCTATGCAATAAATTACCTGTCTGCTTCACAAATCTCTCTGTCTCCGAGTCCGGTTTCCCGTTACAGTTGGATTTGTATCATTAGATACTTACAATTAAAACCTCAATACCAGGTTACTGACTTAATAGTTGGGATGTACCTGAAGCCCAAATACCATGTTCAGAAAAGAAAACTAAAGGTATAGCGGAGGATCTTTCCGAATTTTAGAGAAGACCCACCCTCTCCAATATAAAAAAAAAAAAATGCACATGCACAAACACAACACTCCCGAGAGGGAACGCCTACTATTACGCCTTGCACAATTATGTTGCAAATTGTAAACTAACTCAAAAATATTCATAAAAAAGACAACATGTCAAATGCCCTTCCGTGTTTTATTTACTTATTATACTGATCGATTGAGTGACCGAGGACTCAAGACATGATATGTCCAACCCTGTATCACACGAAATACGTTCTGAGGAAACTATTTTGCAAATCGCAATTAAGTTACATAGCAACATAAGCAGTGCTATTACGTTGGTCCTTAACCTAATATCTCTCATTGTTAATACGTATTAATAAGTTATTTTTATACATAGTTGCGTATGGAGAAGTAGCTTGTTGCATTTGTGTAATAATAAACACACAAGGTTTTAGAATATTTCAGCGTGATACCATTTACCATTTTGGACAAAAGGCTACTTTAGACAAATTGAGATGTTTACCGTGTCTATGCGGTGCATGACTTGTGCCAGGGCTAGCATTGTAGCTTGCATTAACTTTTACTAGTGATTTTAAATGGATTTCTCCAAATAGCGTGACAAACTTTACCTGTCTAGTAGAATCTTCGTGACTGCGGCATCAGTGAGAAGCCCAAACTGTGCTTTTAGCGCACGCCAAACTACATAGGGACGAGCACGTACGACGGCCTTACGTAAACATATCACCAGAATGATTGACACTTAGATCGACCAATAGTATAGACTACCCACCCGGAAAAAGAAAATCCTCCGCTATACCTTTAAACATTCTACAGAGCGCCTACATGATGGAAAAAAAATTGAGATGGGAGGAAAAAATATATTTCAATGTCTTTCCCGTTCTCTGCAATTATACATTTGGGTAATTATATTGTAAATAATTTGCTTCGTAGAATGTGTTATATTCATATTTGGGCTTCAGCACATTCCTATAGCATAGGAATAGCATAACTTGTAAATATATTCAATAACAAAATAATATAGCAAATTTATAATTATATGAACTCACCTTCAACTTGAATTATCCAGTCCCGCCAGTAGCCAATTGTGACCTCCTCCAGAGCCCTCCTACTGCTTCCTCTTTGAGAATACTCAATTGTGAAGAGGTCAAGCAAGGAGGCAGCCAACAAGGGGGGTGCTCCACCACAAAACAGTTCCTCCATAGATGAAGAGTGCACCTCTAGAGCATTCAGGACCCCTAGCGTCTTCAGTCCTTCTTTCAATCTTTCAATAAGATAAGTACACATGTTCTCAGATGCAAACATGTAGGGTTTTATATATAACATGTGTAAAATATATACAGTGCCCTCCACAATTATTGGCACCCCTGTTTAAGATGTGGTCGAGGACTTTTAAAAATTCTCCCTTTTTTTTAAACAACATAGAACCCAAATGCAAAAAAAGAGAAAAATCCAACCTTTTATTTAAGTACATTACTTTGGTGGTAAAAAAAAATGTTAAAATTTAGAAAAATAAAAACTTCAAATCATGTGTCCCACGTAAACGTCTGGAGTTTGCCAAAAAGTTTCATCTTCATAACAAGAATGTGTTTCTTGAAAAAAATAAACATCCCTTTTCTGTGACGTACAAAATAAAAATAAAGCGTTTACATAAATCTCGAATCCCCCGAACATTAAGAGAAAGACAAGACAATTTAACCGGCATATGAACAATAACAAACAAAAAAGGAAAGGGAAAAAAAAAGTAAAAAAACAACTACAATCGTGACAAATCTATGAAATGTAATACAGAATACAAAGTGCAAAACTTGAAACGTATCCAAACCCCTCGATACAGTTTAGGCTATCTGTCATGTCCCCTTCCATTGCTTACCTTAGCTATATGCTCTTACATATTTGTCCGTTTTTGTTTTCTTTTTATTATTTCGCTAAACAAAAGTAGGCTACTTTAGTCAAAACGGCATTGAACATCTCTGGCATTTGCTTTAGACCTTCAGCTTTCTAGAAAACAAAATCAAACATCGTCCGCAGAAATCCTCCTTCCATCCACGATAGCATGCGCCCCCCTGAAGCCAGCACGACGACCCTCCTTTCGGGCTTTCTCCACCAAAGGCCAGAGTTTGTTCCGTGCTTCCTTCGTCCTCTGCGTCAGGTCCTCTGAGATCCTAATCTTTTTCTGTCTGAGCACTTCTGATCTTCTTGCATCTGCCCAGATACGATCGCGATGAGACCGAGAGAGAAATTGCACAATAATTGTGCGAGGACGTGCATTACCCAGCTTAGGGCCAAGCCTGTGCGCAACATCAATCGAGGACTGCAGAACATCTGCTAAACCTGGTGACACCTGAAGAAAAATGTCCATTATTACCATCTTGACATTCTCCCCATCTTCCTCCAGCACACCCGAAATCCTCAAATTCCAACGCCTCTTGTAGGCATCCAGCTCATCCACTTTATCCCATAAGTGTTTGTTTTCAGCAGCCAGCGAGAACAGCTGGGAGTCCATTTTACCAGATTGAGCAGCTGTATTCTCTGATTTTTTATCAACGGCGTCAACCCGTTTTGTGAGATCGGAGATGAGGGTGGAATTGGATGCAACCGATTTCTCGATTTCCAGAAACTTCTCCATAAAGTAATCCTGCTTCTTACCCAGTCTCTCTATTGCTTCCAGCAAAACGGCATTTGAAGGGTCTGAGGCCGGGCGTCGCATTTTGGGTAAAGGGCTTACCCCTGGAGACTCGGGAAGACACGCATCCAATGTATCCAGAACATTGGCAGTTTTGGAATAATTATGCATACGTTTAACACTATCAGATTTCTGCACATCGTCAATCTCCATCCTGACGCCACGAGATCTCAAATCCACGTGTTGTGCGGTCTTTCGTTAATGGTCGTTGGGGGAAAAAATAGAATTCGCAAAATCGTTGATGTATGTAGAGCGTAAACAAAACTAAAATCAGCGCATTGAGGACAAAAGAGTCTTCAAAGGGGAAGAAAAATCAAGTTTTGCACAAAATTCAAGAAGAGCCAAGAAAATGTGACCTACACCGACGCCATCTTGATGACGCTCTCCCGCTTCATATCCTTAGGTTTCCAGAAATCAATTTTTTGTAGGACCAATCAGCGAATAGAGGGAGTGGCTGAGAACGATGACGTTGATGTAGTGCGTCAGTTTGAGTGCAGTAATGGCAGCGGAGAAAGACGTGAGAAAAGCTATTCGGTCCGTTGTTGGAAAAGAAACTGCCGAATATACAGAATTTAAAGCCGGATTGTTATCGTCTCACCTCTTGTTGCACAACGGAGGACCAAGTGAAGGAGGCAGAAAGGTTGGAAGTTTGTGCTGGGCAGCTCGTGCACAATGACCGTGACATTTTGGACTTTAGCCTGGTGTTCGCGGTGTTCGGAAGCCCCGAGTCCCGCTGCTAAACTATTGTTGAAGATCCGCTCAGGAGTCATGTCAGTCGCTCAGATTCCCAACAGTAAATTTACTGATTCTTGTGATGAATAGAACATTTTGAGCCCCTTTGTGCACTCGTACAGGAGGTTGGTGTGTCAGTTTTACATGTTGTAAATCATACAAATTGGTTGTGATTTAAAAAAAAAAATTGTCATAAATAAAAATTTGAAAACCCATACTTTGGAGACTATATTTGATTTTCAGTTTTAGATGTCAATGGTTAATTTGTTTTAATAAAAAAAAAAAAACTAAATGCCATATAAAAATGTACAAACACATACTTTGAAGACCATAATTAAGGTAATTAAGAAACAAAAATACGTAATATGAAAAATTGTTGTTTATTACACATCTGCAGACAGACTGATCATTCACTGTAACTTACAGCATTGACTGAATAATCACTGTCCTTCATGTCAAATATACATTTCGAATTAATAATTGCTCCTAGATTAACAAAACCTGCAGCTCTCGTTGACTGAAATCCTATTGTAAATTTAATCCTCTGATCATTCGGAGTTCGGACTTGTTGTTTCTTTTACTGTCTATGGTTGTTTCCAGCCGTTTCGGCGCATGACATACGTCACTCACGACCACACATTAGCGATTGGCTATGGCAGATCGTGAGTGACTCTGGGCAGATCCAATAGATTTGAACTTTAATAGTGAACCCGCCTACAAGGAAGGAAACGTTTCTCAATTGAGGGAGGCCAGACTCTCTGTACAAATGAAATGTATGTACGAGAGTCTGGTAGAACCAGGCTAGGTAAGCCACTCATTTAATGAAATAGTTGGTTTATTCAATCGATTCGTTCAAAACAGATGATTCATTTAGAAAAAAAGTAATGCTGCGTCCCAATTCGCTTACTTAAACTACACCCTAAAAGTGTGTACTCTTTTTGTGAGGAAAAAGTACATACTTTTGAGTGTGTAGCAAAAGAGTAGGCAAGCTTTGGGACATACTATCACGTCATCTTTAACGGACGGCTCTGTCGCGTGCTGCGTGCATCCTGTCACCGTAAACTGCCCTGTCAATCATCTTGTCACAGTTAAAATCCTCCATTCTATCTAATTTTATTTCCTACCGTTTCGGAGAGCACGTTCATCTGCCAGTTGTGGGTCTTTCATGCTGTCCTCGTGTTTTCAATTTGAATATAATGATGCATTTAAAACGTAATGGCTAAACGTGTCTTTACAAAAGTTCACAATGCTGCTGCAAATGCAATATAATGTGGACAACATTGAATAAATTCATTTTCGTCAGGTTAGATACTCATAATTAATCACTCAAAGCTCTTTATCTAAACCTCTCTACACAACCGTGGGGACTCGCGCGTCCTCCGTATAGACTACGTGTCTGTAGTTTTTTTAACACATTTTTTACTTGTGTTTGTAGTTCTAACCGAATTCTCGTCCAACGCGTAAGGCCGTGTAGGCTGTTCGTGGGAATTTTCCCATTCATTTAAAGGGACTCTGTGTAGATTTTTAGGTATTTTATTATCTGAAATCAATATTTTTATTCATAAATATGTCCTCAATGGTGTACAAATACCTCTTCAAAATATCTGACTTATCCTCGTAAATGAAGAATTTATTATCTTTATGTACATGGGACGGGTAGGTTCACGGAGGCTTCCATGTCCGTTCCGCTATCTTGAAAAACTATAATAGCAGAGAGGGTCAAAAAGTACCACCAGCCAAACACGTTTCCACAACGCGTTTTCGTTCGAGCCATCGTCACGTCACATTGAGAGGCGCATTCCCTGCAAGTTTAAACGGCTGCACTCCTATGATTGCTGATTGCTCTTTTGCTCTATTATTTGTAATGGCGGACCATATGCCGAGTCACAGGAGAATGCGTCCTCCTCGCAAAAAAAGGCCAGACTTGAACGAAAAAGGAAACGTGACCGGAGATTGCAAAAAACTATATAGCTTATATGTATTCACCGGCCGAAAATCTCAAAGTCGAAAACAGCATCCCACCTGTAACTTATTTGACGTGGCCCCTGTAGGCTCACTGTGGACAGTGCTTTAAAAGGTCATATTTCCATCCATGATATAATCATTTGTGGACAAAGCTACTGCACAGGACTCGGTGGACACAGCGCAACACACTGGTGTAAATTACGACCATAAATTGTGCATAATTTGCATAAAATCATGCTGTCCACAGACAGCCTACAGGGACCCTGTTTAATAAGTGACAGGTGGGATGCTGTTTCTAACTTTGACATTTTCAGCCGGTGAATCCTGGTCAGGAATTGGGCATTTCACCGTATGTGTTGAAATGCCCAATTCCTGACCAGGATTCACCGGCCGAAAATCTCAAAGTCGAAAACAGCATCCCACCTGTAATTTATTTGACAGGGTCCCTGTAAGCTGTCCGTGGACATGTCATTTTAAGGCTAGTTATGCATTATCATGAAATGCTAAGTACCCCAACATGTTGCATTGTCTGCCCTGTCCACTGTGCTGCAAGTTTTTAGTAATAAACCACTAACAATCATGAATTATGACCTAATAATGCATTGACCACAAACAGCCTAAAGCGGTCCCATCAAATAAGTTGCAGGTGGGATGCTGTCCCACCTGCAACTTATCTGATGTCCCTGAGGTCCCGTCAAATAAGTTGCGGGTGGGACTCTTTTGTGCCCACCTCTAACTTATTTGACAGGGTCCCTATAGGCTGTTTGGGGACACTGTCAGTAGACATAGGTGTTATAACAAACTAATTACACAGGGTTTGATTACACGAACAGATCAATTAACACTTTGACCAGTTTAAACCATTTTAATTAAGCGCCTAATTAAATTTGAATTATCTAAACAATACTTGGAAAAAAAGGACAGACAAGAAGTTAAACTTCCAAACAACAAAAACTACTTTATTTTGAACAAATATACAGGAAAAAAGTGACATTTAAATGGAAATGGTGATGGGTAAAAAAAACAAAGAAACAACTCAAAGTCTTTAAAAAATCGAACACTTGAACACTTTTTTTTTTTTTTAACAAAAGTCTCTTGCGGAACAAACACTCTCTAAAAAAACACACTTTAACTCACTTGAACACTTGAACAGTTTAAAATTAGAAGAAGAAAAATCTCTCGCGGAACAAACACTCACGAACACTCGGAAAAAACGCGACCATGAACACGAACTCGACGTCTAAAAAACGTCAGTTTCAACGTCTATTTGCGCTGCCTGCGCTTCTTAATGGCCTCCTTGACCTTCTTGGAGACCTCCTTTTGGCGTGTCAGGCCGACGAGGGTCGTGGAGGTGGGGGAAAAGATGGCCTTCTTGACTTTCAGCGGGGACACGTGCCTCTGGGTCGACGCCAAACATTTCAGGGGAGTCAGGAGCACCGTAGCTTTCCCTCTCCGCAGCGGGTCGTCTCCTCCTCCTCCTCTTGGGATCCCACCGCCTCTGCGCCTGACTCGGCCTTCTCCTCCTCTTGGGATCCCACCGCCGCTGCGCCTGACTCGGCCTTCTCCTCCTCCTCATCCTGCTGCTCCTCGTGCTGCGCAAAGTAGGAAAAACACGCACACACACACAAAGACATGATAAGTCATCGGTTGTGATGTCGCAAGAGGGATGTGGTAACTCTGCAGTCAAAGGAAAAAGTCAAATCACCCCACTGGACTCGGGGCTGGACGTCCCAGACTCCTGGTACTCCGGGCTCTTGGTCGCCTCTGGAGTCGTGCTGCCCGAAGTCATATCCTCGTCCGAGGACTCTGGAGCTCTCCTCTTCTTCTTGAGGGGCTCTTTCCCCTTCGCGGGCCGCTTGCGTTTGATTGAAGTCGGCTGCTTTGACGGGGAGCCCCTCTCTTCGCCCTCCAGGGCAGTGTCGAAGAGCCTCCGGTGCTCCATGGCCTGCTGGGGGGTCAAGTTGGCCATGTAAAATTTGTCCGCCGTCCTGGTGTCGTTGCACATGAACTTGGACAGCTTGACCCGGTCGTCGTTGGTGTGGGTGAATTTTATCTGGGAGGACAGAGACAGAGAAGAGTAAAAACCAATGCCGCCACCGGCGGAGGACCTCCAAAATGCGTGCCAGAAGCGGCCGACGGACGCTTACGTGGCTGGCGATGGACGTGCGGACGTCAGTGAAGGTGGGGCACCCGGGAAGGCCCATGGACTTCCAGGCCTCTTGGAAGTAGGAATTGAGATTTTTGCATGGGTTTGGGGTCGAAGTGAAAAACAGGAAAACAATTGGGGCCGACCCGAAAGCCATGTTCGTCTTGTGGTTGGCGACCTGTGGACACACGAGGGGAAGAAATAAAAATAAACAGATAAATCAATCAATAAACAAATCAATTAAAAAAAAAATCCACACAAAAACACATCGGGCAAAGAAGAGTCGGACGCTCACGTTTATCAGGTACGCCTTCTCCGAGGTCGATTTGCGGGCCCCCAGAACCTCCTGCATAGTTATGTTTTGGAGAACCCCCCCTCTGTGGCCGTACACGCAGGCGAGCAGCGCCGCAAAGTGCTCGTAGAACCTCCACAGGGTCTTCTGGGTGGGCTCGTTCTCCAGGAGGGCTAAGGACGAGAGAAAAGCACAAAGTTCAAAGGTCCGTCGGCCGGCAGGTGAGAGCGCGGGGAGGAGACGAAAGACCACTCACTCAAAAGGTCCGGGATGGCCTTGGCGGCGAGTTCCCTGCACTTGCGGAGGGTGGGCTTTCGGATGATGTTGACCTCCTTGCCCTCCTTGACCTGCGTCTGGTGGACGGCCACGCCCCTCTTCAGAGACTTGCGGAGCGCCCCCATCTCCCTGCGGAGGCCGACCAGGGCTTTTTTGGTCAAGCGGCAGGACTGCGGAGGGGTCTCCGACAGGAAAAAGTCGAAGTGAAAAACAGGAACTTGGCGGAGGGTCCGCCGGACAGCTTATCTTTGACTCGGAGGAGTCGATTGACCCAACTGAACTCCTCCTCCGTCAAAACGATCTGGGCCGACCCGAAAGCCATGTTCGTCTTGTGGTTGGCGACCTGTGGACACATGAGGGGAAGAAATAAAAATAAACAGATAAATCAATCAATAAACAAATCAATTAAAAAAAAATCCACACAAAAACACATTGGGCAAAAAAGAGTCGGACGCTCACGTTTATCAGGTACGCCTTCTCCGAGGTCGATTTGCGGGCCCCCAGAACCTCCTGCATAGTTATGTTTTGGAGAACCCCCCTCTGTGGCCGTACACGCAGGCGAGCAGCGCCGTAAAGTGCTCGTAGAACCTTCACAGGGTCTTCTGGGTGGGCTCGTTCTCCAGGAGGGCTAAAGACGAGAGAAAAGCACAAAGTACAAAGGTCCGTCGGCCGGCGGGTGAGAGCGCGGGGAGGAGACGAAAGACCACTCACTCAAAAGGTCCGGGATGGCCTTGGCGGCGAGTTCCCTGCACTTGCGGAGGGTGGGCTTTCAAGTGATGTTGACCTCCTTGCCCTTCTTGACCTGCGTCTGGTGGACGGCCACGCCCCTCTTCAGAAACTTGCGGAGCGCCCCCATCTCCCTGCGGAGGCCGACAAGGGCTTTTTTGGTCAAGCGGCAGGACTGCGGAGGGGTCTCCGACAGGAAAAAGTCGAAGTGAAAAACAGGAACTTGGCGGAGGGTCCGCCGGGCAGCTGATCTTTGACTCGGAGGAGTCAATTGACCCAACTGAACTCCTCCGTCAAAACAATTGGGGCCGACCCGAAAGCCATGTTCGTCTTGTGGTTGGCGACCTGTGGACACACGAGGGGAAGAAATAAAAATAAACAGATAAATCAATCAATAAACAAATCAATTAAAAAAAAAATCCACACAAAAACACATCGGGCAAAGAAGAGTCGGACGCTCACGTTTATCAGGTACGCCTTCTCCGAGGTCGATTTGCGGGCCCCCAGAACCTCCTGCATAGTTATGTTTTGGAGAACCCCCCCTCTGTGGCCGTACACGCAGGCGAGCAGCGCCGCAAAGTGCTCGTAGAACCTCCACAGGGTCTTCTGGGTGGGCTCGTTCTCCAGGAGGGCTAAGGACTAGAGAAAAGTACAAAGTTCAAAGGTCCGTCGGCCGGCGGGTGAGAGCGCGGGGAGGAGACGAAAGACCACTCACTCAAAAGGTCCGGGATGGCCTTGGCGGCGAGTTCCCTGCACTTGCGGAGGGTGGGCTTTCGGATGATGTTGACCTCCTTGCCCTCCTTGACCTGCGTCTGGTGGACGGCCACGCCCCTCTTCAGAGACTTGCGGAGCGCCCCCATCTCCCTGCGGAGGCCGACCAGGGCTTTTTTGGTCAAGCGGCAGGACTGCGGAGGGGTCTCCGACAGGAAAAAGTCGAAGTGAAAAACAGGAACTTGGCGGAGGGTCCGCCGGACAGCTGATCTTTGACTCGGAGGAGTCGATTGACCCAACTGAACTCCTCCGTCAAAACGATCTGGGCCGACCCGAAAGCCATGTTCGTCTTGTGGTTGGCGACCTGTGGACACATGAGGGGAAGAAATAAAAATAAACAGATAAATCAATCAATAAACAAATCAATTAAAAAAAAATCCACACAAAAACACATCGGGCAAAGAAGAGTCGGACGCTCACATTTATCAGGTACGCCTTCTCCGAGGTCGATTTGCGGGCCCCCAGAACCTCCTGCATAGTTATGTTTTGGAGAACCCCCCTCTGTGGCCGTACACGCAGGCGAGCAGCGCCGTAAAGTGCTCGTAGAACCTCCACAGGGTCTTCTGGGTGGGCTCGTTCTCCAGGAGGGCTAAAGACGAGAGAAAAGCACAAAGTTCAAAGGGCCAGCGGGTGAGAGCGCGGGGAGGAGACGAAAGACCACTCACTCAAAAGGTCCGGGATGGCCTTGGCGGCGAGTTCCCTGCACTTGCGGAGGGTGGGCTTTCGGATGATGTTGACCTCCTTGCCCTCCTTGACCTGCGTCTGGTGGACGGCCACGCCCCTCTTCAGAGACTTGCGGAGCGCCCCCATCTCCCTGCGGAGGCCGACCAGGGCTTTTTTGGTCAAGCGGCAGGACTGCGGAGGGGTCTCCGACAGGAAAAAGTCGAAGTGAAAAACAGGAACTTGGCGGAGGGTCCGCCTGGCAGCTGATCTTTGACTCGGAGGAGTCGATTGACCCAACTGAACTCCGTCAAAACGATCTGGGCCGACCCGAAAGCCATGTTCGTCTTGTGGTTGGTGACCTGTGGACACACGAGGGGAAGAAATAAAAATAAACAGATGAATCAATCAATAAACAAATCAATTAAAAAAAAAATCCACACAAAAACATCGGGCAAAGAAGAGTCGGACGCTCACGTTTATCAGGTACGCCTTCTCCGAGGTCGATTTGCGGGCCCCCAGAACCTCCTGCATAGTTATGTTTTGGAGAACCCCCCCTCTGTGGCCGTACATGCAGGCGAGCAGCGCCGCAAAGTGCTCGTAGAACCTCCACAGGGTCTTCTGGGTGGGCTCGTTCTCCAGGAGGGCTAAAGACGAGAGAAAAGCACAAAGTTCAAAGGTCCGTCGGCCGGCGGGTGAGAGCGCGGGGAGGAGACGAAAGACCACTCACTCAAAAGGTCCGGGATGGCCTTGGCGGCGAGTTCCCTGCACTTGCGGAGGGTGGGCTTTCGGATGATGTTGACCTCCTTGCCCTCCTTGACCTGCGTCTGGTGGACGGCCACGCCCCTCTTCAGAGACTTGCGGAGCGCCCCCATCTCCCTGCGGAGGCCGACCAGGGCTTTTTTGGTCAAGCGGCAGGACTGCGGAGGGGTCTCCGACAGGAAAAAGTCGAAGTGAAAAACAGGAACTTGGCGGAGGGTCCGCCGGACAGCTTATCTTTGACTCGGAGGAGTCGATTGACCCAACTGAACTCCTCCGTCAAAACGATCTGGGCCGACCCGAAAGCCATGTTCGTCTTGTGGTTGGCGACCTGTGGACACATGAGGGGAAGAAATAAAAATAAACAGATAAATCAATCAATAAACAAATCAATTAAAAAAAAATCCACACAAAAACACATTGGGCAAAGAAGAGTCGGACGCTCACGTTTATCAGGTACGCCTTCTCCGAGGTCGATTTGCGGGCCCCCAGAACCTCCTGCATAGTTATGTTTTGGAGAACCCCCCTCTGTGGCCGTACACGCAGGCGAGCAGCGCCGTAAAGTGCTCGTAGAACCTTCACAGGGTCTTCTGGGTGGGCTCGTTCTCCAGGAGGGCTAAAGACGAGAGAAAAGCACAAAGTACAAAGGTCCGTCGGCCGGCGGGTGAGAGCGCGGGGAGGAGACGAAAGACCACTCACTCAAAAGGTCCGGGATGGCCTTGGCGGCGAGTTCCCTGCACTTGCGGAGGGTGGGCTTTCAAGTGATGTTGACCTCCTTGCCCTTCTTGACCTGCGTCTGGTGGACGGCCACGCCCCTCTTCAGAAACTTGCGGAGCGCCCCCATCTCCCTGCGGAGGCCGACAAGGGCTTTTTTGGTCAAGCGGCAGGACTGCGGAGGGGTCTCCGACAGGAAAAAGTCGAAGTGAAAAACAGGAACTTGGCGGAGGGTCCGCCGGGCAGCTGATCTTTGACTCGGAGGAGTCAATTGACCCAACTGAACTCCTCCGTCAAAACAATTGGGGCCGACCCGAAAGCCATGTTCGTCTTGTGGTTGGCGACCTGTGGACACACGAGGGGAAGAAATAAAAATAAACAGATAAATCAATCAATAAACAAATCAATTAAAAAAAAAATCCACACAAAAACACATCGGGCAAAGAAGAGTCGGACGCTCACGTTTATCAGGTACGCCTTCTCCGAGGTCGATTTGCGGGCCCCCAGAACCTCCTGCATAGTTATGTTTTGGAGAACCCCCCCTCTGTGGCCGTACACGCAGGCGAGCAGCGCCGCAAAGTGCTCGTAGAACCTCCACAGGGTCTTCTGGGTGGGCTCGTTCTCCAGGAGGGCTAAGGACTAGAGAAAAGTACAAAGTTCAAAGGTCCGTCGGCCGGCGGGTGAGAGCGCGGGGAGGAGACGAAAGACCACTCACTCAAAAGGTCCGGGATGGCCTTGGCGGCGAGTTCCCTGCACTTGCGGAGGGTGGGCTTTCGGATGATGTTGACCTCCTTGCCCTCCTTGACCTGCGTCTGGTGGACGGCCACGCCCCTCTTCAGAGACTTGCGGAGCGCCCCCATCTCCCTGCGGAGGCCGACCAGGGCTTTTTTGGTCAAGCGGCAGGACTGCGGAGGGGTCTCCGACAGGAAAAAGTCGAAGTGAAATATAGGAACTTGGCGGAGGGTCCGCCGGACAGCTGATCTTTGACTCGGAGGAGTCGATTGACCCAACTGAACTCCTCCGTCAAAACGATCTGGGCCGACCCGAAAGCCATGTTCGTCTTGTGGTTGGTGACCTGTGGACACACGAGGGGAAGAAATAAAAATAAACAGATGAATCAATCAATAAACAAATCAATTAAAAAAAAAATCCACACAAAAACATCGGGCAAAGAAGAGTCGGACGCTCACGTTTATCAGGTACGCCTTCTCCGAGGTCGATTTGCGGGCCCCCAGAACCTCCTGCATAGTTATGTTTTGGAGAACCCCCCCTCTGTGGCCGTACATGCAGGCGAGCAGCGCCGCAAAGTGCTCGTAGAACCTCCACAGGGTCTTCTGGGTGGGCTCGTTCTCCAGGAGGGCTAAAGACGAGAGAAAAGCACAAAGTTCAAAGGTCCGTCGGCCGGCGGGTGAGAGCGCGGGGAGGAGACGAAAGACCACTCACTCAAAAGGTCCGGGATGGCCTTGGCGGCGAGTTCCCTGCACTTGCGGAGGGTGGGCTTTCGGATGATGTTGACCTCCTTGCCCTCCTTGACCTGCGTCTGGTGGACGGCCACGCCCCTCTTCAGAGACTTGCGGAGCGCCCCCATCTCCCTGCGGAGGCCGACCAGGGCTTTTTTGGTCAAGCGGCAGGACTGCGGAGGGGTCTCCGACAGGAAAAAGTCGAAGTGAAAAACAGGAACTTGGCGGAGGGTCCGCCGGACAGCTTATCTTTGACTCGGAGGAGTCGATTGACCCAACTGAACTCCGTCAAAACGATCTGGGCCGACCCGAAAGCCATGTTCGTCTTGTGGTTGGCGACCTGTGGACACATGAGGGGAAGAAATAAAAATAAACAGATAAATCAATCAATAAACAAATCAATTAAAAAAAATCCACACAAAAACACATTGGGCAAAGAAGAGTCGGACGCTCACGTTTATCAGGTACGCCTTCTCCGAGGTCGATTTGCGGGCCCCCAGAACCTCCTGCATAGTTATGTTTTGGAGAACCCCCCTCTGTGGCCGTACACGCAGGCGAGCAGCGCCGTAAAGTGCTCGTAGAACCTTCACAGGGTCTTCTGGGTGGGCTCGTTCTCCAGGAGGGCTAAAGACGAGAGAAAAGCACAAAGTACAAAGGTCCGTCGGCCGGCGGGTGAGAGCGCGGGGAGGAGACGAAAGACCACTTACTCAAAAGGTCCGGGATGGCCTTCGCGGCGAGTTCCCTGCACTTGCGGAGGGTGGGCTTTCGGATGATGTTGACCTCCTTGCCCTCCTTGACCTGCGTCTGGTGGACGGCCACGCCCCTCTTCAGAGACTTGCGGAGCGCCCCCATCTCCCTGCGGAGGCCGACCAGGGCTTTTTTGGTCAAGCGGCAGGACTGCGGAGGGGTCTCCGACAGGAAAAAGTCGAAGTGAAAAACAGGAACTTGGCGGAGGGTCCGCCGGACAGCTTATCTTTGACTCGGAGGAGTCGATTGACCCAACTGAACTCCTCCGTCAAAACGATCTGGGCCGACCCGAAAGCCATGTTCGTCTTGTGGTTGGCGACCTGTGGACACATGAGGGGAAGAAATAAAAATAAACAGATAAATCAATCAATAAACAAATTAATTAAAAAAAAATCCACACAAAAACACATTGGGCAAAGAAGAGTCGGACGCTCACGTTTATCAGGTACGCCTTCTCCGAGGTCGATTTGCGGGCCCCCAGAACCTCCTGCATAGTTATGTTTTGGAGAACCCCCCTCTGTGGCCGTACACGCAGGCGAGCAGCGCCGTAAAGTGCTCGTAGAACCTTCACAGGGTCTTCTGGGTGGGCTCGTTCTCCAGGAGGGCTAAAGACGAGAGAAAAGCACAAAGTTCAAAGGTCCGTCGGCCGGCGGGTGAGAGCGCGGGGAGGAGACGAAAGACCACTCACTCAAAAGGTCCGGGATGGCCTTGGCGGCGAGTTCCCTGCACTTGCGGAGGGTGGGCTTTCAAGTGATGTTGACCTCCTTGCCCTTCTTGACCTGCGTCTGGTGGACGGCCACGCCCCTCTTCAGAAACTTGCGGAGCGCCCCCATCTCCCTGCGGAGGCCGACAAGGGCTTTTTTGGTCAAGCGGCAGGACTGCGGAGGGGTCTCCGACAGGAAAAAGTCGAAGTGAAAAACAGGAACTTGGCGGAGGGTCCGCCGGGCAGCTGATCTTTGACTCGGAGGAGTCAATTGACCCAACTGAACTCCTCCGTCAAAACAATTGGGGCCGACCCGAAAGCCATGTTCGTCTTGTGGTTGGCGACCTGTGGACACACGAGGGGAAGAAATAAAAATAAACAGATAAATCAATCAATAAACAAATCAATTAAAAAAAAATCCACACAAAAACACATCGGGCAAAGAAGAGTCGGACGCTCACGTTTATCAGGTACGCCTTCTCCGAGGTCGATTTGCGGGCCCCCAGAACCTCCTGCATAGTTATGTTTTGGAGAACCCCCCCTCTGTGGCCGTACACGCAGGCGAGCAGCGCCGCAAAGTGCTCGTAGAACCTCCACAGGGTCTTCTGGGTGGGCTCGTTCTCCAGGAGGGCTAAGGACTAGAGAAAAGTACAAAGTTCAAAGGTCCGTCGGCCGGCGGGTGAGAGCGCGGGGAGGAGACGAAAGACCACTCACTCAAAAGGTCCGGGATGGCCTTCGCGGCGAGTTCCCTGCACTTGCGGAGGGTGGGCTTTCGGATGATGTTGACCTCCTTGCCCTCCTTGACCTGCGTCTGGTGGACGGCCACGCCCCTCTTCAGAGACTTGCGGAGCGCCCCCATCTCCCTGCGGAGGCCGACCAGGGCTTTTTTGGTCAAGCGGCAGGACTGCGGAGGGGTCTCCGACAGGAAAAAGTCGAAGTGAAAAACAGGAACTTGGCGGAGGGTCCGCCGGACAGCTTATCTTTGACTCGGAGGAGTCGATTGACCCAACTGAACTCCTCCGTCAAAACGATCTGGGCCGACCCGAAAGCCATGTTCGTCTTGTGGTTGGCGACCTGTGGACACATGAGGGGAAGAAATAAAAATAAACAGATAAATCAATCAATAAACAAATCAATTAAAAAAAAATCCACACAAAAACACATTGGGCAAAGAAGAGTCGGACGCTCACGTTTATCAGGTACGCCTTCTCCGAGGTCGATTTGCGGGCCCCCAGAACCTCCTGCATAGTTATGTTTTGGAGAACCCCCCCTCTGTGGCCGTACACGCAGGCGAGCAGCGCCACAAAGTACTCGTAAAACCTCCACAGGGTCTTCTGGGTGGGCTTGTTCTCCAGGAGGGCTAAAGACGAGAGAAAAGCACAAAGTTCAAAGGTCCGTCGGCCGGCGGGTGAGAGCGCGGGGAGGAGACGAAAGACCACTCACTCAAAAGGTCCGGGATGGCCTTGGCGGCGAGTTCCCTGCACTTGCGGAGGGTGGACTTTCGGATGATGTTGACCTCCTTGCCCTCCTTGACCTGCGTCTGGTGGACGGCCACGCCCCTCTTTAGAGACTTGCGGAGCGCCCCCATTTCCCTGCGGAGGCCGACCAGGGCTTTTTTGGTCAAGCGGCAGGACTGCGGAGGGGTCTCCGACAGGAAAAAGTCGAAGTAGTCAGTAGTCAGCCTAGATGATAACCCCCATCTCTTTCATTAAACAGTGTACTTATGTTACTTGGTACATTATTTTCTTTGACTTTAAACATAAATTGCGCAGTTTTAAATGTAACAATGTCCATAAATTTTAGCAATTGTGAATTAAAAAACAGAAGATTAGTGTGCTTATAATACCCAGTATGATTTATTATCCGGATTGCTCTTTTTTGTAGTATGCTAATTTTTTGTAAATTACTTTTATAGGTATTTCCCCAAACTTCCACACAGTATAACATATATGGCAATATAAGTGTGCAGTACATAGTATGTAATGTATTTTTGTTCAATATGTATCTGGTTTTACTCAATATACCAATAATCCTGGCCATCTTCATGCACACATTTTTGATGTGGGGCTTCCAGCACAATTTATCAAGTACAACACCCAGAAACTTACAATCATAAACTCTTTCAAGTATTTGGTTATCAATTACCAATCTAACATCTATATTTATATTACGATTCCCAAATACCATAAATTTTGTTTTGTTTAAGTTGAGGGATAATTTATTCGAATCAAACCAAAGTTTTAATTTCTCCATTTCGAATGTTGCCATTTCCATCATCTTTTGCAGATTGTCCCCACAACATAAAACATTTGTATCATCTGCAAAAACAGTGAATTTAAGTACATTTGATACTTTAAAATATCTTTTAAATAAAGAATAAACAGTTTGGGGCCTAAAACTGATCCCTGTGGGACACCACAGGAAATACTGAGGCTTACTGACCGGTGATTGCCCATTTGCACAAACTGACTCCTATTATCCAAATATTTTTTTATCCAATTGTGGGCCACACCTCTGATGCCATACCTTTCAATTTTTGTTAAAGGGGTGATGAACTGAGAAATTAAATTTTCCTTGAGCTTTTGACATCTAAGAGGTCATCATATTATAAGAATATCCTGTAAGTTTCAGAACTGAAAACGTCCTTGTTAGTCCAATAAAAGCTTTTATTGACACAGCATCTAAAAACGACTGGTTTTTAAAAGTGGGGAACTATGACGACAAAGAGGATAAAACACCACCCCCACAGAAGAAGATCAACGCCTGCTTCACCACGGCAGGTTTAGCCCCGCCCACCGGTTCGCGTATTACAGACATAAGTATCATACATGTACATGCTTATAATTCAGGATTCAGGCAGGGCGGATGGCGCTGCTCAGCTGGCGACACGCAACTCGCTCCAAACAATTAGCTGTGTTTGTTGTGTTCGTCTGTCATCGAACTAAGTAGAAAAGTATTTTCTGGATATGTGGGGGCTAAAGTCTGGGCTAAGAGTGCTGGACATTTCTTGTTTTATCAGACTTTTTATTGGACTTTTAATTATATTTGGTCTGCTTGTGCACTCACGCACCAAAAATGTTGAGATGCAGGAATGGCGCAGGGACAGCCGACCAGCGTTTATTTATGCTCGCGGCACACTCCTAAAACTTAACAAAGTGGGACTTAAAGGACGAGCTACACCCGGGCTGCTGACTAGTATCCCGGGGGAACTGACACGTTCGGCAATCCGTTGGAGAAGGAGGCGATCACGGCTGGCTGCACGGGAGGAAGAACTGGTGCGACTGAGCGGACAGAGGAGGAAGCGAGGGAGACGGGGTGGAATAAGGAGGAGACTGCG